TTTTTTTAAAATCAGGAAGCCATCCAGTACAATCAGTGGAGAAGCAGACAGGAAGATGATGTCATCCCCCTCAGGATGCTACAAAGGAGTGTCCATGTTAAAGCGAGCTTAAAATGAATAGTGCTGAGTGGGTAAAATGTAAAGTTGGTGTTGCTGAGTGTGCAATACATCTACCACCCCTCTTCAGCTCAGAGATATTAGGCTAGCCCGAGGTTAAATATGCAGTTTGCAGCTAGTTGTTTGGTTGCAACTCACTGAGCAGCTTTATCTATCATTCTTCTTCTCTAAGCTTCATTATTTCATTATTCTTCTATACATACTGGATAATGTAGGGCTCTTACACATAATAGCTCTATATACATATTCACATTTCATCTGTCAGTCATGGCCACAAATGAAATTCTAACATTTTAAATGATCTAATGCCTCACCTGTGCTGGACACTCCAACTACGTTACTAGGCTCGCTGATCATGTCATCCATGATGGCCATGACGCGGAACTCATACCACGCCTCCTGAGACAAGAAAGAGATTATGTTATCAGAAATGTTCAGTAAGTCTGAACCTGTAAAATTCCACTGCCATCTCCAAAGACCACCAAGCTACAACAGTCCAAGGCTTTGGAAACTTTGGAAATAGAACTCAGATGAACAAAACTCCAATATACGAGCAAACTGTCATTATTTATTTAACAAAATCCACCTTTAGCAGGATACTTGAAGTAATTGCTTTCCATAAGGTTTCATCAGAGGAATTTTGACCTACTCTTCTTTAACGTTTCTTCACTCAGTTCATCCATCCATCCATTATCCATTATCTTCCACTTATCCAAAGCTGGCTCTTTTGCCACACAGGACCAGCAGCTCTACTCCGAGATCCCTCTGGATGTCGGAGCTGCTTTCCCAAATCTCACAGAACAAACTCAAACTTTTAGTCATTTACCCAGACTTCATGACCATTAAGTTATATAACCAATGTGAGAGCTGTGTCTGGATCCGTGTCACATTTTCATTGGGTGTTGGAATCTTTCAGGGTTCCCCCTCGTCTCCAATCCTGTTCTTGATTCATGGACAAGATCCCAAGATAGCCTTGGTGAGGAGGCTGTCCGCTTTCAGAACTACAGAATAGGATCTCTGCTTTTTGCAGATGATGTAGTTCTGTTGACTTCATCAGATTCATTCAGATTTTCTGTTTTCAAATTTAAAATTGACTAAGATTAAGACTTGAGACTACAAGAAGGGCCTATTATGTAAAAGTATCAGGCAACAAATCAGAAGAGTGTCTATTAGATCTCATCCCTTCAAGACTGCTCCAAGAAGTCCTACCATTAATCAGTGATTCAATCCTAAATATGATCAGTCTATATCTATTAGGTACCACAGACCTTTAAGGTGGGAGTAGTTAAATTATTACTTTAAACGTCATCACTTGACCCAGCTATCTTAGCTTATTATAGGCCAATGTTTGTTTTGGTAAATGAGCTGGTTGTCATAGAGCACTTTTTAATTCTGCCTGTGTACTCAAAGCACTTTATAAAACTTGCGTCATTCACCTTTTTATCTAATGACTTTCTTCTATACGTTAGTGCTTTCAATTTAAGATTCACAGATGACAAATACCAAGAAGCCAGATAACAAACAGCAGACAGAAAGACCTGAATGACACCTAATTTTCTGCTTCTAAATTCAGTTGAAACTGAGGTTAATGTACTCAGTCCTAAAAATTTTAGAAACATGGTGTCTAACCACTTTGGATGGCATTACCTTGGCCTCCAGTAACAACGTGAGAAATTATGGAGTTGTTTCCTTAACCAGGATATGTTCTTCAATGTGCATATTAAACAAATATGTGGGACTGCCTTCTTTGCAATGCTTATTGCATTTGCACAATATTTTTAAAATTAGAAACATCCTGTCTCAGAGTAACGCTGAAAAACTAGTTACTGTTTTTATTACTTCTAAGCTGGACCATCAATTCCTTATTATCGGGATGTCCTAAAAACCTCTTGCAAAGCTTTCAGTTGATCCAAAATACAGCAGCACCCAGCTCCCAGTTTGGATTCGGGAGACACGGACTCTTCTCTACTTTCAAGGTTAGGCTTAAAACTTTACGTTTGACAAAGCATATAGTTAGGGCTGAATCTGGTGTTTATGCACCACTTTGCATTTAATCATTAGTTACTATTAAACTCGGGCTCTCTTCCACGGCATGTCTTTTATCCTGTCTTCCTCCCCTCACCTTGCATCAGATTGCTACCTCTCCCCTGAGCCTGTTAGGTTGGACAGTGGGCAACAGTAGGAACTCTCCCCCGGCAGAACCAGGCTCAGGGAGCTATCTGCTGTAACTAGTTGGGGGTGAGAGGAGGACGACAGGACAAAACAGGATTTCAAGAACTTTGACTTTCTTTGGTCATCTTTCACCATTCTGTGGCAGAGAGGCCTATGTACTGAGGAACATCTGTCATTTTTAACTAAAGACTTTTACTTTAATCTCATCCATTTTCTATCAGCTTTCTGGTTTGTTCACATGATCTTTAGTAAACTGCACCTATGTTCTTTTTATTAATTTCTCCTTGTCATACACATCACTGTTGTTCAGAGTACTCCTGAAACTGTACTCATGAACATTAATATTTGCTCTCTGTGAGACCCCAAGTTGCTTCCCATGTATCCTGGGTTCCTCTGTGACTTTGGCTACATTCACACTGCAGGTATTGATGCTCAATTCCGACTTTTTGATCAAATCCGATTTTTTTATTTTTTATTTTGTCTTGTTGTTCACATTACAAATAAAATGTGACAGCAAACGTGCTCTAGTGTGAACGCTCAAAGCGGCCCGCATGCGCAAAAGAAGACATCAAACACAAAGCGCTCTGTTTAGACCCAGACCGAACAGTATTGTTTGACTGATGGCCCCATAAAGACTTGTTTCGGACTTTACGTTTCCCAATTTTGATTGAAGTTATAAAGTTATTTTGTTATTTACATTTGGCCTAATAATGATCCTTATTACTGTTTTAGAGGAGCGGTGCTTCAAAGGATAGCTGCAGAGTTCTGTCCGAATCTGCAGATTATACAGTACAAATAAAATGTTCACGTTTCTCCAACGTTGTCTTCCCAACAGTTTCACTAACATCTACACGGGATGGCCAGGAAGCGTTCACGATGTCTTCTCGGGCACTTCTGTGGTGCTTCTTTGGCGCTGATAATTGGCGTCAGTGACGTAAAAGACGGATTTAATGCGACATGACCATTCAAACAACAGTCGCTTTCTAAAGCATCGGATATGTTTCGGATTCAGGACCACATATGAAAGTGACTCAGATCGGATTTGAAAATATCGGATTTGTGCCGTTCCCACTGTCATATGGGCGACCGTGGCTCAGGGGGTTGGGAAGCGTATCTGTAACCGGAAGGTCGCCGGTTTGATTCCCGGTCCTGGTGGTTGTGTCCTTGGGCAAGACACTTTACCCTACCGCCTACTGGTGATAGTCTGCCCCAGGGCAGCTGTGGCTACAACCGTAGCTTACCTCCACCAGTGTGTGAATGCGAGAGTGAATGAATAGTGGCGCTTTTGTAAAGCGCTTTGGGTGCCTTGAAAAGCGCTATATAAATCCAATCCATTATTATTATTATTATACCATGATCGGATATGGGTCGAAGCGCTTTCACCTGCAGTGTGAACGGAACCTTTGTAGTCTTTTATGGGCTACTGGAGCATTGGTGAACTACTGCTGAATAGTGGTTCCTTAACCTATATTTTGCGCTCAGAATAATTGCTGTAAGCAATTGGCATCGGAGAGAAAAGAATGTAGTTAAAGGGACAGATTTTTTTCTTCTGAATCAGCATTATCAGAACATATGCCTTTTAATTTGTTGTAGGAAACCATATCCACCAACTCGAAGAAGTAACTAATGCATGCTACAACAAACCTTTCAACCCTTCTTTTTGTCCTCTTGCTATTCTCAAGACGTCACACAGGGATTTAAAAAGCTCTTCCTTAGATATAAGAGGCATAAAGTTTCACATCATATTTCACACCAACAAAAATGTACATGATATTCATCAAAAACTCACCTGAATCAGATTCAGATTTCTCATTGTTTTTCATGTTTCAGGACTACAGACAGCATGCAATATTTTCCCAGAATTGTTGATGTTAGAGAAATTAGTAAAACACATAGAAAAAAAATTGTGAAAACATAAAAGCTCTAACCATGTAAGTGGAATAAATGTAGGCTACCAGTCAGAATTCAGTGTTGCTACAATATATGAATATATCTATATAAGTTTCAGATATTGACAAATTATAATATCAAACAATGGTATGAAGTTGGAGTGGCCTAGTGGCTTTCGCGTGACCTCAGCAGACCAATCATGTGGCTGAATTAAAACATTTTGAAAAGACGAGTGTGTCAAAGAAGGAAAGAGGAAGCCACAAAGGGGGCAAACAGCTTTTCTATGAAACACACGTTGACCCATGTGACTTTTCTGAGCAGGTTAGACCTTTGATTTTGTAATAACTGAAACTTTTATTCTCTGACTGAAAACTTCTGCTGAATCTGTGCTGCAAAACCCATGTTTTCATTTTTATTTTCAGAAGCTGCTGCTGTGTCTGCAGATTATTTGCATATCTCATAAATTCTACATGTTTGCTCGCTTAATTTGCACCGCTCCTGGTGGATGGTGTTAGCCGCTGGTTTAGAAGGCCAAGTACTTTTGGTGTATAAAAACACTAAATTGTAACTGTAACACGAGACGGTCTACTGATTTTTTTTAAAATAACTTCTCTAAAGATCAGCTACAACATTACACCAGCCCATCCAATCATGTGCACAGATGCACTGCACAGTGTTTATTAACCATTTACAAAGTTTCATCAAGATCAGCTGCAGTGTTCTAACAGCCGTCTAGTTAATTATTTACAAGCCAGTTATTAGCACATAAATATGCAGTGCACTGAGTTGTCAGCTCAGTTATGAAAACAGATTGAGGATTTAGTTGCGGTGCAGCAAATGTCCACTTTAAAACATACACACATATGTGAGGAACCAAAGAGAGCTTCCATTCTGGTCCCATGACCTAAAAAATGCAGTGAATTTCCAACAGAAAAGTTACACAAGCTAGGTGTGATGTGTGCATCTGTGAGACTGAGAGCTGGAGAGAAGAGTATGTGTGGGTGTTTGCTGTGCAATGGAAGTAGAGATAAAAGCATCTGCATGGAGCTGGAAGTGGTGGTTAGATTAAAGAAAGACGTTTGAAAGCGTCGTGGCGAGTATTAGAAGACAGGCGGAAGAGTTGAAATGCTGCGAAAAAAGCAACATGCCAGAGCTCATACATCAACAGTGATATACCTTTTGTTATAATGTCTCTAGGAAATGTACTGTGTTCTATTAAAAAGCACAAATTAACAAATTATAATGATACAATGTATTCCATTCTTATTATTTTCATACTCATGCATGACCCTTACATACCCACATAGGTAGAAGCATTTGTGTGTGTGTGTGTGTGTGCGTGTGTGTGTGTGCCAAATGAACTAAGGAAAAAGACAATTTATGTTTACCCCACAGTAAAACTTGCACAGACAGATAGCGAGCCAAGTCAGCTGTGCATACCTGTGTTGTTACTATGACAACCAAGCTGGCTATGACAGGGGAGCTTCAGAAGCCACCCTGGCAACATAGGCCTATAGCAACCTAACTAAGGGATGGTTCAGGATTACTCGATCCAGTCCTCACTATGAGCTTTGTCAAAAAGGAAAGTGTGAAGCCTGGTCTGAGAAGGCTACTGTCTCACCACCCTGTTGCTGGGCATTGTGGGAAAAAATTTTTTTTCGTTTTTTTTTTTCATTGGATTCAATGTGTTTCTCAGCTCTGTCAAGCTTAAAGGGCCCTTTTTACTCCTTCATGATGATATAAGGCAGGGGTGTCAAACTCCAGGCCTCGAGGGTCGGTGTCCTGCAGGTTTTAGATCTCGCCCTGGGTCAACACACCTGAATCAAATGATTAGTTAATTCCCAGGCCTCTGGAGAAATTCAAGACATATTGAGGAGGTCATTTAGTCATTTAATCAGCTGTGATGGATCAAGGACACATCTAAAACCTGCAGGACACCGGCCCTCGAGGCCTGGAGTTCGACACCTGTGATATAAGGTATTTCAAAAAATTAACATAGGTATAAATAAACAAAAATCTTAGTTCTGACTAGAGAAAAGCTTCAAATATCATAGAAGAACAAAAGCAAAATGGAAACCTAAATAACAGACATAAAAAGAAAATAATGTCTCAAAAAATATAATAGAATTTTTTTTTTTGTTGAGATTCAATTATTTAGTCATAATTTAGGTATTTCAATTCTTTTATTTTTAGTGTAGTTTGATCATAAGATCATAAGATTATATTAGACTAATACAGATATTATATTATTATATTATTAGCTGGTACTAGTTGGTCCGCATGGTTTACAAAGCATCTTATTTACCTTAACTTCGACTGTGAAATGTCTCCACGTGTCTACTCTTCTCTTCCTCTCAAGCGTTAATGTTTTGTTTGTTTTTTATGTGAAACAGGAAGCCAGCTGAAAGTCCTCTCCCGCCCTGTTTCTCAGCAGCAGATCAAACCTTACTGTAGGAGGAGACTACTTCTGATTGGATCACTTGCAAGCTCGTTCCACCTTTCTCCACAGTTAATTACTTGTGATTGGATCTTGTCTCTTCAGAATATTTTCATCTTGTTTTTATTTGTTGATGAAAGTGTCAGTGCCTTTCATCATCATTTTTCTCCTTGTGCATTTGTTTTTATTTAGTTATCGTCTTGTTTTTGTCAGCAAAACTATGATGAAAATTACTAGTCAATGAAATTGAAATATGAGCTGGTTTCCTTAAAAGATTACATTGATATCTCATTGATATCTCAAGGCTATACATCCCATTTTGCTTTTGGAAACACTAAAAATCCCAAGCTGTACTGTGAGGTCTCTGAGATATGCTGGAGAATATTTCTTTCTTGTTGGTGTTGGTGAATAACTGCTGTGCTATAAAACATAACTTTAACCTCCTAAGACCCGAACTCTTTCATGGCATGCATTTTTAATTTCTCTTTGCAATTCTCTTTGTTCTATAGAACACTATAAAGTCACAATTGAGTAATGATGTGCAAAACTCTTTATTTGGTGTCTGAACACAGCGGCATTTTTCTTGAGCACAAAAACAAAATGAGAATAATAATAATGGATTGCATTTATATAGCGCTTTTCGGGGCCCTCAAAGCGCTGTACAATTCCACTATTCATTCACTCTCACATTCATACACTGGTGGAGGCAGCTACAGTTGTAGCCACAGCTGCCCTGGGGCAGACTGACAGAAGCGAGGCTGCCATATCCATCGGCCCCTCTGGAGAAAGAACAATTGTTCCCATTTGAGCAATATGGCTCCTTTGAAAGCCATCGGAAAGAGCAAAATTTAGTACTGTGGTCAAGACAACCCAAAATGTGATGCCCCCATATGTGCACGCCAGGTCCCACCCAGGAGGTTAAGGTCTTTAACCTTCCTCCATGTCTCAAGCAACCTCTTAGCTTCGAAAGACGTAAGTCTGGTTTTAAACTTCCATTTTGCATTCAGGCTTTTACCTGGATGAGATCTCGGGCAACCAACTCTGTCTCCCCTGCAGGAATGCTGTCGTCCAAGACCTCCCATCGCTCCCCCAGGCGAAACTCCATGACATAATGCTGGATAGGTGCTGTGTGATTGGCAGGCGGAATCCAGGTGAGCAGGACTCCCTGCTGCGTGCGATTGGCTGTGAGGCACCGTGGTGGGGTAAGCAGCACCAATGGTTCAGGGGTACTTGTAGGAAATACTGGAAGAGCATTTTAGAGTTGAAAATGTCTGTTAAAGATTCAGTTATCTTGAGCAAGTAGCAAGTGTCCATTGGCAGGATAAAAGTGAATCAGCTCCCCTCTACTCACTGACACTATCACACATTTAAATCTAACTGTGACTATAGATGTAACAATAATGGTGATGCATTATATCAAAGCCACCACATACATCACATTTATAAGCATTTTATTCTGGTAGCATATATGTCAGTCACAACTTAGCATTTTTTTGCTAGCACCCTTATAACATTTTCATCTTTAAGGTATGCTAAATTTAATCCAGCCTTGCTAAACTGCTATTGGGCCTCTGAGCGGTTGCACTGCATACATTACAGAGGACTCAGATTATCTTTTAGCATTAATGTAAATTCATACATTTTGTTTTTATTTCATTTTAAGTTAATCTGGGTTAAAAGTAACTTTTGTTGGACCACCTAAAACGTGAATTTTTTGACTTGAATTTATGAAGTGGTTAATCGTGAACAAGAAAGAACTAAACTAGACTGGTAGTTATACAGCACTTTTCTATTCAACTGTCTATTTATCTATACCTACTTTAACCACTCACACTCCAGCAGATGACCAGGGGGTAATACGGTTCAGTATACTGCTCAAGGATACTTTGAAACCTGGAGTGCAGGAGCCGGGGATCAATTCACTTTCAACTGGAAGACCTACTAGGCGACCCACTACCTGATCCACACCTGCACTAATAACAGTTCACTCTGTTCATTTAACAAAACTTTTAAAGACACAAAACTAGCAAGTTAGCAAACATCTGATTGTGGAACATTTGGCAAATCTAACAGACTATTCCTATTTCATAGATCATAATCTTTGAAATTTTGTGTTTTCTCTTAATTTGAGTGCCTCGTACGCTCATATGATCAGGTGAAAAATAAAGTAAAGGCTTTACATCCGATCAAATGAATGTTATTTAGAATTGTAGCTTACATATGAAAATGTAACCAGCATTTGTAAACATTCTGACCTACCAATTTATTCGTTAAAAATATTTACACCCATGCTTTCAAACTCATTCACTAACTTCGGTGGTAAAAGCGTGAATAGTTAACTAAAGATGTTTCCAACATATCTATTAGTTCTACTTTTTTTCAAAGACGCCACTATAAGCTGATTGTCATTTAGATTTAAAAAGTTTAAAAGTAAACATTTCTTAACAAAGGTCAGCAAATGAACCACTGAGCTGGTGACTGTTGGTTTAACCTTCAGGTCTATGAGATACTAGAAGTTAGTTCTATGTATTGGTGTAACGACACAAATCTGATCCTGACTGTGTTTCGATTAAAATGTTTCTTTGCACATGATGGTTAAATATGGTACTAAATATATCACACTAGTGTTTTTATTTGAAATGATGGGGAGTTGGCTGTTTTCGGCCAAGTAGCATTTTTTTTAATAAAGATTCAGTTTCAACTCAGCTTCGGAAGATAAGAGGTAATAACTATGTACCTCACTTCATATTCAATTTAACTAACTAGCCAGCAATTCACTTTATTATTCACTGAGACAAAAGTAAAAACTAATTCTTAAATGAAAAACATTTAAACATTTAAACAACATTTCATGAATAAAGGTGACATGAAAATGCAAAGATATCACTATTCCTTTAGTGTGTGAAAGATCACACGACCAGCACTCACACAGAGAGTGTTGTTTGGCCTCCCCGGAGCCGATGTGTGAGTTGTTAACTTGTTAGACTTTATTTACAGCACAGATCCTCCTGAAATTACTTCTCTACAACTGTAGTGTGATGTTTAATTGGAAGAACATTTAAGAAGTGCCTTTTTGTGCCTTTTAATGATAAATATTAGAATGCAAATTAAGATCAAAATAATTTGAAAATGGCCTACTACTTTTCTAACACTTGCATGACATGAAAAACATGTCCGGATGATTTTTCTAAGTTCAGTGTTTTTTGCAGCTCTCTCTACTTGCCTGCCAAAGCTGTTTTATTATTGGATCCTTTCGTCCTGGTTAAGCAGTAGTGGGTGTACTCACCTAGTGTGTTCACAGTGACAACCTCGCTGAAGGGGCCTGTGCCAAGCTTGTTTTGGGCCAGGACGCTAAACTGGTATGTTGTCTCTGGCTCTAAGCCGGGCACCACCATCCAGTCGTGGCCTCCAGGCACAGGTATGGAAAGCCAGTCATACGGACCTAAACGCTCCCTCTTCAGCCTGCACAGGAGTCATGATGAGATGCAGGTACACAGACAGGAAAAATATTGAAGAAATAAATCAGGAGGTGAGAGGAAGACTTCTTTTAATCTTTTGGACAAAAATGGACATTGATTTACAACAGTTACAACTATATTCAAGTCTTTTCTCAGCACCAGTTTCATCACACAGTGTATAATTTATCATAATGTAATTTATTTGATCTCAAACCTAAATTCAACATTGCATAGGTTAATTGTATGGATCTGAATTGAATTGAATGTACCACATATTTTATTTCATTGTTCACAACACAGTTTTGACTTGATGGTATTAAGCCCATGCCGAGCTCAGCTTTGCAGTTTGCTGTTTGCCCATGCCACACATTCAGCTGC